CTGGGTTACAATCCAGCTCCCTGCGGCCCTAATAAAGACAACCAGCTGTGGATAATAGAATGGATGGATGGATGGATGAGTTCTTAAAAGTTGAATTTAAGGATACAGTTCACAACTTTGAAGGGATTTTTAAAATTCAACACAAAATAAAGTTCAAATTGAAGAATTAAAAAATTGACTACAACTGAGCTTACAGAACTCAACATCCCGCTAATAAATGTTGCAGGGAAATACTGTTTCATAAAAGCCTCAATGGCCAATTTTCATAAAAAAGGCCTATTTAAAATGTTAACATTTTCAGAACAAAATCAAAAATGTTTGGTCAAAAATTAAGGAAATATCATGTAGAATTACAGTAAAATAGTACTTTATCATCAGGGCTTTTGGCTCAACTTACCCCACTACCATTTGAACAAACTTGTATCATCCAGCAGTTTAGAGCTAACATCACACTGACAGTACAGCTCATACACTCATATCATAACCTCCTAAAGCACAAACACGTGTGATATTTTGTTTCAGATTTGTCTGTAATTGTTCAGACTCGAGAAGCAACATACAACATACAAAAATCACTTTGAACAGCAAAAAAACCCTAAATGAACCTAAATGGTTTTAGGTTTTTTGAACCTAAATGTAGTTACCAATTATTCCACGGGCCGCTCTCCATCACAGCGCGAGTAAAATGGAAAACTCTTCATATACTGTATCTGTAGTCACATCACCAATTTTGTTTAAGGTTGCCTTGAAACAAGGGGTGGCTCAACTTCCCCACAGACTCAAATCACCCTTATATTGCATAATTATAGTAAGAAAAAATACATATACATGTTATAGGCTACATACAAAATATTCGTGACCAACAAAACGAACAAAAACCAAAGGCAGTCCTAGAAGCATACTATAAATACTGCACACACAAACACACACACACACACACACACACACACTCACACACACACACAGGTTTGTTTTTGTGAAAAGTGGGGACTCTCCATAGGCGTAATGATTTTTATACTGTACAGACCGTATATTCTGTTGCCCTACACCAACCCTA